GTCTGCTTGGGGTTTAGGGGTTGCTGGTCTGTTAGGCCGCAAATGGGGAAGGTCTCACCCAACGAACAGGAGGTCCTGACGCACCGGTCCACGTGGCCTGGGCAAGGGGTTTAGAGGGGTGGCGGTGTTTTTTTCCTTGTTTTTTTTGTTCTCCGTTTTTTTCCTTATCTTTGTTTCGGCCGTGTGGCCTAGCAAGCAAACAAGCTTAAACCTTAACCCTAGTCCTCGCCCGCGTTCCGCTAGTGTGAGAGTCGAAACCTTAACCCTAAACCCTAAAAGCTAAACCCTGAACCCTAAACCCTAAACCCTCGACAGAGGGGGGAAGCCAAGAGGTTCCCGACCAACAAAAATAATAGAAAGACACGGAACAAAATTAGGAAAAGCATCCCCGGCCGTTTATATAGAGGCGGGGGGGGGGTACCTGCTTTTTGCTCCCCGTTGCTCCCCAGACCGACTGCTCGAGGCCTCGGCAGATGGGTTGGTTGCGATGTAAGGGCACGTGGGAATGTCTTGGTTGTATTTGGGGGTTTGAGTCTAGAAATTCTAGGTTTTCACAAGTTCTGCAGGTTCTAACAGTTCTAAGAGTTCTACAAAGTTCCAAGGTCTAAAGGTTCTAGAAGTTCGAAAGGTAGGCCCAAACCACCGAAAACCTGCAGGAATGCACCAAAAAGATCCCACGCACCCAAACTCAACCAAGGCAGTCCCACGCACCCCAAGCGCAACCCTGTTGTCATCCATGAATATCCCTTTGTCACGTGGGTGGTACTTGCGCGCCATTTGCTCAGCACAGCTCGCGGTTAGCACCCCGCCCTGTCCAACACTGGCAATTGCGGTTCCTTGTGAGCCAAACCACTTCTCGCGTCGATTTGATTTCTTTGTTGGGCAACGAGTTTTTTGCCGCTCTTCTCAGGAATCCTGCCAGATCTCTGCATGTTGGTATGAAGGACATATCGCGGGAGAACTTTCGTGGCCGGCATGACACGAATCAGATGCCCGTGGAAAGGACTCCAGCGGAGTTGTCTTCAATGCCGAGCTCTTTCATGTAGCTGTTCCTGGTCTCAGGACATGGTAGCCGTTAACTGCTTGCAGCCGAGTAGATGTTTGCTGCAGAGAAGATCACAGCTGCACCTGGCAGGACCGACGAGAACGAGCATTTGATCGGCATCACTCAGGCCATGGCAGCCACGGTTCTTGTGAAATGGGGGTTTCCAAAATTAGGGCTACCGTATTTTGGTCCTTATGATAACGGGATCCTACTCTTTGGCGATCTATATTGGGGGTCCCCCATCTTCGTACCCCCACCAGATGGACCTCTTGTGGGAGACTCGGACCACCCAGGAGTCCTGCACCGACAGGCTGGAGCGATTCGAGGCACGTCATACGTATGTCGCAGCTCCAAGAACTCCTTGAGACTCACGTTTGGCTTCCCTTGCCCAGAATGTCTACGACAGCCACGATGGTCTTGGCAGACTGGACACTCCGCATTTTCCTCAACAGGCGGACAGGGTGCACTAGTAGTCACCAGAGTGAGGGAGGTTTGAAGGAGACCGATGGTAGCACAGGTTTCTCTGAGCCGATTGCAAGCAGAAGTGTCGCCAGCATGGCCTAGCGCACTCTGGCATGGGGCGTGTGAAGCCTAAGCATGAAAACCAAAGGAGGCCCCAAAGTTGTGCCGCTGCCACGAAGAGCCCCTAGGCTGATGCCGCCGACATGCGCCACATTCTGGGGTGCCCAAGCAAGAACTCGACTGAGTAACTGGTTCAGGTGTTATGGCGCATCTGTGGCTTTCGGGTTGTGGTGGTTGTGGGTGGAGTTTTCGGGAGCTGTAGTGTCTTGACTTGCATGAAGCGGTTTCTAGTTTGCACTACCTGTTCGTTGCCAAAGCATCGGCACAAGCACCAAGACCAGCGTCTTCTCTTCGTATACCCTCTTCGCCTCTACCCCCTCTACCCGCTCAACCCCCTGCACCAAAGGGAGGATGCCTGTCAGACCAACTCTGCATAGAGGGTTGGACCTAAAAGAAGTCCAAGCGAGTTCAACACAAAGTCCTGTTTCTATTTCTTTTGCGGAATAGAACTTGTCACTGCATTCAGAGCTTTTTCCAGGATGTCTTCCTCTCTTCGCACGCATTGTGAACACATGCGGATCATGCTCACAAGCAACACAGCACTTGGTATCTGGTGGTCTGAGGTACCAGCTTGACAGACAGCAGCGCAGCCTCCCGAGCAAGTGCTCTCGAAACAGCGACTCTTCAGGAAGCAGTCACAGTAGTGGCCGTGCCTTGGCCCGCACGCTCAGAGACTGCCCTTGCCTTCCTACTTCAATTGTTTAAAGTGATGAGGTTCTAACGTAAATAAGTGACTCGAACCTGTCATTGCCTTTGGACCGCTCGCGAAATACCCCAACGCTGGTATAGTTTTCCTCTTGGACTAGAAAAAATTTAGGGTCATTGACCATCAAGTTTGACATCTTCGAGGCCACCAGCGAGGGTGCTCCACGATTCGTTTTGATTCTGAACTCCTCTGAGCATCGCTGAGCCAGCCGGGGAAGATTTCTTCTTGGCAGTGGCTCAGGCACTGACAACTTGACACGGTTGCGAAGCCTGAACAGGGTGAGCATCGTGGTCGACGTGCAGACTCTTGGTAGTATGGCAGAGTTGGCAGGGTGAACCAATTTCACGTTGGGTACAGTGGCCTATTCGACCTACTACTGACCAACCCCGAGGACTCCAAATGAAGACTTCCTCATCAGCTCGATGGAGCTGCCTCTGGGCTGTATTCAGTACTGCGACCCCATGCACAGTGTATACAAGAACTCATGCGTTTGGGCAGCGTTCAGAAGTTCAGAGGGTCGAGGGAAGGATGGCAAACACCAAGATTGAACTTGACCTGCCCATGAAAGCGGCCGCCAGCTTTTGTGCCAGGACTTTCCGGCACCCGCAGCAAGAAGTTGGAGGTGTGCCGAATTTGATGGAGTGGATCAAGCCATCTTACAGGCAAGCCTGCCACACACACCGTGCATCTCAGTATGCAGGCATCTGCTGCTTGCATGCGTAGATACCAATGGCACTAGCACAAGCACAGACATGGTTGTTTGCATAGGCTTCCATGCTGGAACAGGACCAGCATGTTCAGCTACATCCAAGACCACGCGAACGCGAGCTATGGTGGACGAATATGCGCAGAGACTAGTCTGAAGCAGATGGGAAATTCCGTCCATCCTTTTGGGCGGGTCAGCTCGAATTGGTCGGGGGTGGCACTTCACCGTCCGATCCATTGCAAAGTCTCCTCTAAGCAAGTTGTGTCAGAGGCACTTGCGCTGGCAAAGGTCTTGCCGTGTGCGGCAGAAGGTCAAATAAACCCTAAACCCTAAGTTTTCCCTAAACCCTAAACCCTAAACCCTAAACCCTAAGCCCTAGCCATTGCTATCCTGTAAGGCGCGGCCACTTCGGGGCATCAAGATGTACTCGCCGATGGCCTCCGCGAAGACTGTGCTTGTTGCTTGGCGCACGCAGTTTGCGGTGTCTTCACGTGTTGTAGGTGTAGCAAATTTAGGCTTCCCTGGTTTAGGGATTAGGGTTCAGGGTTCAGGGTTTAGGCCCACAACAAACGGCACATACTTGTGGAAGCTGTTTCTTTGGCCAGCTGTGTGCATCGCGGCCTGAGGTGGGGGAGGCTCGGATGGAAAGCCTGGAAGCTTGGATGCACCGTGCTGCAAGGATTCTCCGAAGGTTGGGGACATCGGTCATGTTTTGTCGTCGCCTGCAGCAATGGGCGGCAAAATCCCCCAGCATGCAAGAAATAATAGTGGTTTTTGCAACTATGACTTTCCCACATTCTGATATAGATGCGATCAGCCTGGGAGCGATCACAGGTTGTCGCTGCAAGACATCAGCAAGGCAGTTCTCCAAGATCCGAGATCTGGAGTTGTTGTGGTACATCTGCCAATCCTACTTCATGTGATTATATTTATGCGTATTTCACGTGACTATACTTCTGCGTATGTATGAGTGTCAAAAGAGTATGAATTATGCATCTTATGATGGCTAAGATGATTATGACTTTCCCGTGTGTAGAATCGGTTCGTACCTGGACACGAACAGTTTTGTGGCGGCTGTGCCTTTTCAGTGTCAGCAGAAGCTGACAAAGGTGGTGGGCTTGTTCTTTTGTGGGGTTTCACGCGCTTGGCGACCAGTCCTAGACATCCGTTTGGCCAGCAAAGAGCAGTAGTTGCAATTGAGAACGGGCCTCTGATTGTCGGATGATTTTCCCTCAAAGTGATAAGCTGAGGAGGCAGATGGATCGGATTCTGAAAATGGGGTCGGCAGTTCCCCGTCCCCGACCTCATCAGCAATGCCCCATCGTCGGCAAGCAGACACGTTGCCTCTTTAAACAAATCGCGCAGCTTCGGCCTTGCGTGGTACGTCCAAACTGTGGCTTTCATGGACCTTATTCGCACCTTTGCAAATTTGCAAACGTCAGTTGCTTTCGTCACAATCATAGGGTCGTGCTTTCATGCGGACGATGGCTGCAGTACAGGGCATGCTGTTGATCACTTTTAGCACCATATGGACACACGTAGTTCTGTGCAATGGACAGCTGAGGCCTATGAGATTGGAACTAACAAACCTGTTTGCACACTGAGCACGTCGGGCACTAGTTCCTGGACAGACATGTTGTCTGACACAGTCTAAGTGCATGCCTTCTGCCGAGCCAGACAGGCCGCCTTAGAAAGCAGTAGCCCGCTGCTTGGCAGTCGAAGGAACCTGGGGGACACGATCTACGGCTGGCAAGGCCGGTTCTAGACAACGTTTTTCAGTCTCACCAAGATCCAGCAGACTGCACAAGACAGCGAAAAGTGATAAAACATCCCTCCCCCGCTTGCTGTGCACGCATGATTACTGATTGCGGACATAGAAGTTGCTAGCGCTCAACCTCCAAGTCGAGGACTGCCCCACAGTAATGGCAACGACATGCAGTGACCCTCTGTGCAACACCGAGGTCTTAGCCTATCACTTTCCACCCCCAGCCCTCAGCTGAGCCTGCTGTTGTTGTCATCGACACGGGCCAGGATCTGTTTGGAGGTGTCATGTGACTCATGTGCCATAGACAGAGTGCACTCTCCAATCACGGGAAGTCATGCGCGTGTGTTGGCAGCAATAAGTTTTCACGGACACAGGTTCCAGTCATGTTGGGCAGCTACAAGCTCTTCTCCACTGCCATCTGGGTCAACCTCTCAGACGTTCAAGCCGCTGTAACAAATGATGCTACTTATGTACCACTACTACTCCTGCTCCTCCTGCTCTTACTCCTACTCCTACTCCTACTCCTACTCCTACTCCTACTCCTACTACTACTACTACTACTACTACTACTACTACTACTGCTGCTACTACTACTACTACTACTACTACTACTACTACTACTACTCGATTTTTTTCTGGCATATATCCAGATTTCCGACACTGGAGTTTTTCCAAACTATTCGACTTCCATCAAATTTTGAAGATGACTCAACTTGCGTGGAGATTTGAAGATGACTTGACCTACTCGGACTTCTTCAGCTCGCATCTCCTGTCACGGTCCTGCCTCTTGTCACGGCCTCGCATTGCCTACGAGGGCCTTGCATTTCCTGTGAGGGCCTTGCGTGAACTAATTGTGATGAAAATCGGCCTGGCTTGGCTTGGTTGGGGGGTTGGAGGGGTTGGGGTTTGGGGGTGGGGGGGTTTGGGGGGGCGGTTGGGAGGGCCGGGGTGGGGTGGGGGGCGGGTTTGTGGTTTAGGGTTCTGAGTTGAGGAGGGCTTTGGGACTTGCATGTTTTTTTTTGGAATGAGATTTGTGGTTTAGGGTTCTGAATTGAGGGCTTTTGGGCTTGCCGGAGTTTTGTTGAACGGGGAGGGCATTTCCTATGAGGGCCTTGCGTGAATAATTTATGATGAAAATTGGCTTGCTTCGACGGTTCATGATTATTTTTGGGGAGTTTTTGCCCTTCCCTGGTCATTCTTTGGGATGAGGTTTGGGGCCGCGGGTTCTGAGTTGAGGGTTTTTGGCCTTGCATGATATTTTTCAAGCAGCCGCGCAGCAATGCGAAAATGCAAAATCGACGCCCCCAAATTCTGTATACACCTGTTGCTGAAGTCACACTCTGATAGCGCTTTCAAGCATAGTGATGCACGAAAGCACATCATCATCTCAGCATGTGCGCCTACTACTACTGCTACTGCTACTACTACTACTACAACTACTACTACAACTACTACTACTACTACTACTACTACTACTACTACTACTACTACTACTACTACTACTACTACTACTACTAAGCTACGGTCATGTTTGCGACGGTGCACTTTTCCAGCCTTTCTACTGTTAACACCTAGGTTTCGCGCATGTACACCTTGCGAGTTTGGGTTTGGGGATGCTAAACTAAAACATTGGTATTTTGCGACACTTCGTGGTTTCGTTGCGTGCGAATGGCCAGAGCACCCATGTCCGCACGACGATAATGTCCATGTTACCAGAGCATCCATGTGCGCACGATGATAACGTCCGTGTTACCAGAGCATTCATGTCCGCACGATGATAACGTCCGTGTTGCCAGAGCCGCACGATGATAACGTTCGTGTGACCGCTGCGTGCGCATGGCCAGAGCATCCATGTCCGCACGATGAGAACTTCCATGCAAAAACACCGGTTTTTACGACACTTCGTGGCTTCGTTGCGTGCGTGCGAGTGGCCACCGCACGATGATAACTTCCGTGTCACCAGAGCATTCATGTCCGCACGATGAAAACGTCCGTGTTTCCAGCGCATTCATGTCCGCACGATGATAACGTCCGTGTTGCCGAGCATCCATGTCCACTGGATCTCAGCACTCAAATCCGCTCAGTGTCTTCCAGCTCAAAAAGACAAGATAAAGGAAACTCTGCCAAGCACCTTCCACAAGCTGAAAACACTGAAACGCATGGTTTTCGTCACTGTCCTGCGCAACCAACACACCGTCGCGTACGCGCCCAGCGCGTGCTACTACTACTATTGCTGCTGCTGCTACTACTACTACTACTACTACTACTACTACTACTACTACTACTACTACTACTACTACTACGCTACCACTACTACTACTACTACTACTACTACTACTACTACTACTACTACTACTACTACTACTACTACTACTACCACTACCACTACCACTACCACTACCACTACCACTACCACTACCACTACCTATACTACTACCTACTACTACTTACTACCCTCGATAACTTATAACATTAGTTGTGACTGTGGTCGAAATTGCGCTGGGTTACAGCATGTTGTAGTGCAAGAAGGTTCCTCCACTGTTCGCCTTCGCGGGCCTCCTCATTAGCAGCCTCTACTGGCTGTCCCTGCCTGAGACGGCTGGCGGGGGGGTGATCTAATTTGTGGGCCCTTGGGGTGTCTATATTTTAGGTACTTATTCTTCCTATATTGTTTGGGGTATCAGACATACCCCATCTATATGATCATTGGCGGAGCCAGATGGAGGTCGGTTCATTTTGGGTTTTTTTCCGCGGTTGGTTTCGTTCCCTTGGGCATCACCGACATCGGGATCCCCTTCATGCTGACATCTCTGAGGATTGACAACGCCCTGGCAGTGAAGGCAGAACAGCGGTCCCCGTGCAGTCCTGAGCGAAGCCAAGACGTCCGGACCAAACCCAACAAGATCCAAAAAGCCCGCAAGTCGCATAAGCCCCCAAACTCAGTTTGCAAAAGGCCCTTTGGTTTTGTGTTGTGTTGGGTTTGTGGCCTGGTTGTGCGAAGAGCCCTGAACACAAGGGCCGAGATGAATTCCTTGCCGCTTTCTGGTCTCGAAACCGAGGGGAGTTGTCCGCGCAATTCTGCAGGTCTTCGGCCTGGAGTGCCAATTCCAGCTTTGTCCTATGGCCTCTTGCGTTAACGCTCCAACGTCGTAACGATCGAGTAGCCGAGAGACATGGGGGAGGGACATCCAGGTCATTGTTGCAGACCTTGGCTGCCGTGATGTGCTTTGTCAGAGCCTAAATGTTCCAGCCAAGTTGCTGTTGTTCCTGTTCGATAGGTCGGGTCGTTCATGTCTTGTGCTGGTGCGCTCTGCGCCAGGCCGCAAACTATTGGGCAAGTGGCTTCATGTCATCCAACGACCTTGGCACAGGCAGGCCTGTCGTCCTTGAGGCAGATCGAATTTTTGTAGTGGTGAGCTCCCCGCCCCCCCTTGCAGTCAGGTTTCCGGATTAAATCGGAACGAGTATGGTTCGAAGAGTCTTCGACAAAGTCAAGTTTTCCGGGGTGAGAAGATCTTCAGGAGAGGTCTCCTATCTGTTTAGGTGCGGGGGGCGGAAGGGGATGTTGGGCCGCAGGAAAGACGGTCCAACGCCACAGGCTAAACGTGGCAGCTACCATGTGCTGCCATTGCGAGCATTGTTTCCGGCAGCAGCTCACTGGACCAGGTCTAATCTCGTGCGTGCTGGCTTTGTGGGCGATTTCCGCTTGGCGCGTCTTCGATGTGTCTGGGCGAGGAATTCAGATCAGGGGATGCGATTCACACGAGCCCCGCAAGTAATGGCAACTTGAGATGAATGAACAACCGCCCTTGACCCCGCTCAGGTCGTGTGGATCGGTTCCGCGTGAGCTGTTTGAACCCCGTAAAGAGTCCTCATTGGCGATTTGGCACTGTATGCCTCACGATAGCAGCCCGAGCAGATTCTGGCACCCTAACATGTGCCAGCGTATTAAGACCTGGGAGTAAGCTCTGTCTTCTGCATTCTTGGAGCCCTGGTCAGGGGACGACCACTGGCCTGGTCGTGTCTGCCTGCGGCACAGCGGTTGCACCCTTCAGTGCTTTAGGCTTGGGAATCGTCCCGGGGGCCATTGAAGCTACTGGCCCGAAGCTTCTGGCAATGTTGATCCAGCCATGTTGAATCCTGTTCCGATCGTTTGGGCACGACTTGACGACGCCTGAAGTCTTGTGGCATGCAATTTCCATAGTCAAGTTAGCAAGCTCTTAAGGTAAGGGGGGAACCAGGTCATGACAGCCGTTGGTGGAACGCTGATTGAGGCTGGGCAGCGGGCTCTTTGTGTAGGCGCATCCTAAGATCGTACTTGAAGGCCTAAGCAAGTTGCGCGTCTGGCCTCAGCAGTGCTTGCACTCGTGCGTGATGAGAGGGCCTTCCTTGGTTGAGGTGAGTCACTGTTTTGGTACCGATGCCGGCAGAATGGCAGTGACCTGTTCAATGTGTCAGGTCTTCCTGATCAACGCGCCTTGGTGGGACCTCTATGCTTATTCGAAGGACCGAGCCCAGAAGTTTCCTGCTTATGCGCTGATGGTTCTTTGTGATGTTACTGATCAGCGCCAGGCTGATTTCTGGGGGGTGGACAGCTGGCAGTTGGCCTGCAAGAAGACTTGCAGGTTGAGTTCGAAATGCTTTCGTGCCCTGCAGAGCATTTGCAGGCAAACGTTGGAACTCCGTCTTGAGTTCTTGACAGCTGGACCAAGAGTATCAACCTGAAATCACATACACCCCCGCATTCCGTTCGTGGCAGAGAGGCATTGCCTCTCCCCGCAGCTCAGGATTCCGTGGGTGTACTTCTGTGGGGCGCCAGCGGTGGGCAACCTCTCCAGGTTGATCCGCAATCGCTTGGCGTAGCAGCCTTTGTGCTCCGGACGCTTGAGATGGAAAACAAATGCTGGATCGCGCGGCCACATGCAAAGCTTGCTTCATTAGCTCCCCGAAGCAGGAGGCGTCCATCTCCACTAGTCACTTTCGGCCTGAAAGCGCCTAAGTTGTATTGGGCCTAGAGTGTGCGCTTCTGCAAGTATGATTCGCCGATGTGCTGCTGACATCATTCAGGCTTGTGTCTTGATAAAGTGCAATCAGTACAAATGCGCCCATCAACGCACTTGGGACTTCTCGAAGAGAGCATGCCGCCTGGCAGCATTGGCCCAGCCGTTCCCCTAACTACATAGCTCATTTGTCCTTCATTGCTCTTCGCCGCGATGTCCGCCAACCATACTGAAGCTTCAGCAGCTTCGCAGGAAGCACATATCTCACGTGACTGGTCAGTGATGTGGGTTGAACTCGGATCTGTGCTGCTGGTGTCGCTGATGTGTTTTCTCATGTCTTGGGCTTGCAGGAACACAGGTGCAAGCCGCAGGTCTGCTGGCTTGGAAAGGGCATCTTCGAGTGCCTTTGTCATGGACGAGGTGTGCTCAGAAGCTTCTGCGGACGACATCAAGACATTTGTGGAGGGGGGATTGCTGACAGAAAGGCATATGGCCATGGATTGGTGGTCGCTCTATACGAACAGACCTTGGTTAGCAGAAGAGGGTCCCACCGTGGATGTTCCCTTTCTCAGCTCCAACGCCGAGTGGTTGGGAGATAGCTTTCCATCACCGGACGATGCTTCCATTGCGTGCCTCAGCATCTTGAGAGATTTTTCGCTCCTAAGCGACAAGCTGTATCCTGCTCTTGCTTGCTCTTTGCTGTTAATTCCTGTTCGGCCCAAGCCCCGACAGGTGTAGCGTGGGTCGTCTTTGGAGCTTTCTCTGGTCCAAGAACCGCAGCAACTCCGTCAGAGCTGCTTGCTTGAAGGCCTTCCGAGGCCTGTGCCCAGCAGCTGCAGCGGAAGTGCTCTCGCTCTTTATCTCTGGCCTCAATGATGCAGCCGGGAGTCAGGATACGACATGGTCAGTCCAGGTGTGGGCACTGGTATACATGCTCATATACATGGCTGACGACAGGGCTAACTTCATGTACTGGACAGTTGTACCAGGATCTGGTATTCGGCAGGAGCTGAGACAGCGCCTGCAACATGTCTTTCTTTCAGTGGAAGAAGCGGAGCAGCCAACGTGGCCCATCGGCCGCTGCGCTACCATTCTGAATGTCGATGTTCCCAACACAGTCAAATGCTGGACAGCCCTTTTCGAACTCATTCAGCTTTGCGCGAGCTCTCTTGCTTTGTTGGCGGTTACTATAAAGCAGACTTGCAACGACCCCCAGACCATGGTTATCTGCCTGTCTACTTTTGCCATTTTGTATGCATCAACTGTTGTGAACATTGTGATGCGGCGCCCAAATCTTCTAGACCTTGCAATTCGCAAGCGTGACTGGAGGCACACAGCTACCTCGATAGCTTGCCTCCAAATTGAGAAGATTCCAACCACTGGTCAAAGATGCGACCCGAATCTGGGACCGAAGATTTACGGGGAAGCCGCAGAGGTGTATCGCAGGCGAGGCAACCATTTCAAGTTCACTCAAGTGATTTCTGCATTAACAGCCAGCGAGATGAGCCTTGTTGCGAAGTTTGCGTTGATGATGATCGTGGGGCGCCAGGCAATACTTGGCAATGCCCAAGTGGCACAGGTGGTAGCTCTCATCTCAATATTGGAATCCTTGAGAAAGAGCCTGAGAGTAGCTGCAGACCTTCAACTTACTGTCATCGAAGGCTATGCATCCTTGCTGAGTATCCTTAGTGCTTTCAAGCACCAGCTGGAAGCCAACATTGAGCTATGCAGTAGCGGCGAGTCTTCTTCAGACCGCAGCTGACAAATCCACGCACCCGGACTCCAGCTCTTCTCCCGCACGGCCGTGTGCGACAATGACAGCTGCCGAGACTGCATCTGAACCAACCTGAGATAACACGCCTTCCAGATCGACCAGGACACAGTATGCGGATGTGGGTGTACCATTCTGTACGACCTCGTGTCCCCTTCTCACACTGTGCAGCTTCAGAGTTGCATGAGTTGCGAGATATTGCGAGCGCCGCCCCATCGCCGGTGGATGCTTACGGATCTGCCTTATCCTGCATGTCAGCTGTTAAGCAAGTGCTGCACGCAAGTGCATGCTGTCGAAGAACGTCGGCGCCAGGGGGTTTGAACCAGGTTCTGGGCATTGAGGTCCTATCGAAGCCCCAAGTTTGTGTTGAGGGCGCTCTCAGCCATGAATGCAGCACGTAGCTTTGAAAGCCCAACCTTGGCATTTTCCAGCACCTTACCTGAAGGCCGCTGCTTGGACCTAACACTCGAATGCTGCAAGTCCTGCATCCTCTCCCGAAGCTTGCGTCCCCAAGAGCCCATCCGCAGCTCCATGAGTCAAGCTGTTGGGCTTTTAGGGTTTAGGGTTAGGGGTTTAGGGTTTAGGGTTTGGGGTTTAGGGTTTGGTAGTGTTTCTTTGGTTGTCATCAGTGCGAGCAGTTTGCCATATCCAGGACATGCAGACTCAAAGCGGAGCAGTAGCCCGGGAGTCTGCAATCCATTGAACTTAACATGCAGACCAGAAACCCTGCCTGAAACCTTTTTGGTGCAAGGTACCTTGTGATCTCCTGGCTCAGTCGCGAAACTCTCTATATTCACCCTCAAGCTCCAAAGCCTTAAGTCCCTCAGTTCAGGCATGCACTCCCGGTGCTGATAGCCAGTGTTTGTCACAGCAAGATTCTCTAAGTTTGCGAACGCTGTAATTCGGCCAGCAACACGCAATGGGAGCTTCTCTCTGCACTCCGACGGATCAGCTGACATGCGGCATGCAGGCGACCGTGCACGAGTGCCGTTTTCCCCTTTGGGCTGTCAAAGTCTCAGACTTCTTGGAGATGACCGGTCCGCCCTTAGCCCACCACATGCTGCAAGAGAAGGGCTTGCTGCACGAATGGTATCCGGGGATGTTCCTGATTTTTGTTTCACATCAGTGGCTGAGCGTCAGCCATCCAGACACACAGGGGCAGCAAGTGAAAGTCCTTCAGGAGGCCCTGGTAAACATGATCAACGGGTCTTTGCACGTGCACGAAGACCTCTTAACCTGGACGGATGAGAAGGGCCTGTCCCCCAAGATGCGCCAGCACATTTCCGAAGGCTACATATTTTTTGACTATTTTGCCATCCCCCAGATTACGGCGCGGAAGGATGGCGTGAATGAGGAGAGCACCAAGAGCGACGCAGCCTTAGCGGTTCAGAGCATCCCGGCATATGTGGAGCTTTCGAACGTCTTCGTTGCGCTGGTGCCAGAGCTGACACACAACGACACTGCTCAGCCGGTGAACCATGCGAGCTGGCTTTCAAGGGGCTGGTGCAGGGCTGAGCTCTGGTGCAGGCTACTTTCCAACAAAGTGGACACCAGTATCATTGTCGTCTACTCTGCCACGGAAGCCGAGTTTATGTCCCCACTCGAGTGGCAAAACAACACCATCGTGGAGGGGGACTTCACAGTGGAAGCCGATCGTTTGGTTGTGGTTCGGCTTGGCGAGATGGCAGTGGAAAGCAAGATCCGGCACTTGCAGGCAAATGGTCCACTAAACCACTTCCGCTTCTACGCTGCCCTTCGCCCCAAGCTTTTTTGCCAGAAGCCGCGGAGCCGGAGCCTGGAGGACTTTCTGCAAGACTTTCGCTTTGAAAGCCTGGCGGATGCTGTGCACCCAGTGCCCTCGCGAGACTCAGGCATGACTGCGGTGATGTGCGCAGCCTTGTCGGGCGACGAGAACATGTTGCGGATTCTGGCGAAAGGTGGGGCAGATGTCGGCCACACCCTGAGTGGCTTAAGCGACTTGGGATATTACGACACCCAAACAGTTCTCATGGCTGCAACAAAATCGAAGCAGGAGCCCTCCGTTCTTGCCACTCTTGTTCAACTCCGTGCAGACATCAACGCCACAGCCAGAACTGGACTCTACGCCCTGTTCATGTGCCGCTCGCCCGAACACGTGAGAGTCCTGCTGGAGTGCCGAGCGGAGATGTCCGATTCCGCGCTGAGCGGTGCAGCCATGTTTGGTGGGCCAGATACAGTTCAACTGCTTCTCGCATGCCGCTGCAACCCTGCTGCAGCTCGAGAGTCGAGTCCGCTGCACGCTCTTACCATGAACGCGCGGCCCAATCGCAAGGCCGTTGAGATAGCCGAAATGTTGATAGCCAGCAACGCGGATGTCAATGCGCGCGACATCATACCGGACGACATGTTGTGGGATTGCCGATGCTCGACAGCTTAGCAGGTGTTCTTCGGTAGTGCAATAGCAGTAGCAACAGCCCTAAACCCTGAACCCTAAACCCTAAACCCTAAACCCTATAAGCCTTAAACCCTTGAAATCGATGCCTCGTCCTTGACCCACCAAGGCAAGGCTCAAGTCCAGATGGCTGTGTTCGGCTGGTCCCTTTGCAACAGGATGGCGCGGGAGCCCTTCAAACCCCCGAGCCCGAAGATCCAACCCTAAACCATATAATATCATATAGCTTTTGTAACTAAAATGCAATATACTACTACATCTACATGTGTTTGTTAGTTATGCTCCCTTTTCACATTAGAGTACTCACAAAAGGCACTCCAAAGAACGTTCTTCTACTCCTGCAGACTCGAACCCTGCTATTGAAGCTCAAGACCTTCGAGAAACTTACTTTACATGTTGTTGCATACCGGGTATGTGCACGAAGGCTTAAGACCGAGTCAGGCGACGTGAAGCACTTAGTGCGTAGCAACAGCAACGAATCTTGTGCTTCACATTTGTTTTTGGGGACTGCCACCGGCCAGCTGCTGTGATTTCGACGTTGTTCACTGTGCAAATTCTACAACATGCACCATTCGGGAGCATTTGTGCCATTTGTGTCATGGCCTCACACGCGTCTTGTGAAGCCTTCTAGTGGCCTTTCACTTTCTCGGGAGTCTTTGTCACTTCTTGTGATCTTGATTTTGTGATACATCCTGAAGAAGCTCGATCCCTTCACCAACTCTTGTCGTCTCCTCTTTGCAACACGGTTCTCCATATAGCATTCGCCTTAGAAGCCTTTGAACCGTGCCAGACCTTGCAAGCCCTTTAGGATGACCCGCTTTGGAGCCAGCATGCCTGGACTAACGCCGTTGGGCTACGCTGCCATGGTTGGCCACTGGGTATCCATTTGATATTAAGATATTAGAGATTATTATATTGTTTTATTACTATATTATTATATTCTTATATTATTATATTATTATATTATTATATTATTATATTATTGCTGTAAGAATGGCAGCCTTGGCTTGCTTCGTTTTGGATCTTTTAGTGCATGTCGTGCACAGATGATGCAGTCTTCAACTCCGGACGGGGATTGAAACAAGTCGCTCTAGCTCGTTCATTAGGACAGGAGGTGGGACAGACTTGGAATTGCAAGTCCCTTTTCCTCTCCACACTCTATGCATGCCAAAAATACCACTAAAATGCAGTAGTGCCACATGTTCAAGCTTGATCTGCTTGCTTTTCCCTTGAGTCTTCATCTCACATCAAGTCTGCGCAGTATTAGAAGATGGTGGGTGAGACATGTCGAAACGCACGGTATGCTCCTTGTTGCCTTTCTTTGCCGCACTATTGCTCGCGCTTCGCTTGAGAATCGTCAATCCAACGCTCCTGCAAGAAGGAAAGACACTGGACAGAAGTAAATGATAGCAGAAAGCCCCTGTTCCAAAGAATGCCTTGGCCTCCACATGGATCATGTCCTGGTTGAGTAAGCTTGCCTTCTACCAAGGCCACGTGGGCCTCACGGAGCTGTTCTTGAAGCACGGGGCGGAGCTCCCACGATCAAATTAAACCCTAAGCCCCCAAAAGGTAATTTGGTAGAGTTCGTGTCCCGAGAATACCTTGGGATGTTCCCCCTTTTGCTAACAGTCCTTATTTAATGGGAACTATAGCCCTACTGTTGATGATACAAATCCTGCATTACCTTGAGGACCCTAAACTATGGGAATTATGGTAAATTCTTGATGATGGGGAATGCAGGATTTATATCATCAACCGTAGTATAAGGGGGAACATCCCAAATATGACCGTTTTAACGTATGCTCTTTCCCTTCCAGGAGCTCCTCCCAAACGACCGCGGGGACCTCCCAGAGGACCTGGCGCGGTAACCTGGCTGCTTGAGCACTTCTGTTCCGAAGAGTTTGAGGTCAAGGCATCCGGCTTGAAGCCGACGCAACTTTGGGACTGAGACCCATCAACCTATGTACTCTGGCACTTGTTTAAGTTTTAGCATTCCGGGTTGCCACTTGAAACCCCCCCTCACACGCGAAGCATAAGTGTGAACCAGGTACACACACCACCACCACCTCCTTCCTTTGCTGGCCACCTTTGCCACCTAGTGCCACGCAGGACGTAGACTCAAAGTCTTCAAGTTATGATGTTTTCGGGCATGTACCGAGTATCGGTCAGACGCCAGCTTCGAAGCCCTGGGGCCCTGCAGACTTCTGTTGGACTCGAGGAGGCTTGCAAAGCAGCCGACGAAAAACTCCGAAACCTCCAGACCAAACCCACAAACGTGGGCGGCTGATGCACAAAACGCCAAGCTGATGGCTAATTCTGTTGACTGCACCCCCCCCTAAACCCTAAACCCCAAACCCTAAACCCTAAACCCCAAACCCTAAACCCCAAACCCCAAACCCCAAACCCCAAACCCTAAACCTTTTTGAACCCCGAGCTGGTTGGGACTTCCCCGTCGGGCATTCGAATTCGGTCCTTCGGCTCCCCAATACTGAGGCTTGTGGCTCCCAATCACAGGGTTTAGGGTTTAGGGTTTAGGGTTTAGGGTTTAGGGTTTCGTCCC